TGTGCCTTGAGAATAGAACTTGGCCCTGGAAACCTTCCGATAGTCTTCCGCCAGCAGATTTTCCTTGTGGGAAAAGCTCTGATCAGAAAATGGCAAGTCCGCTTGGGCAAGGACGGGACTGTTGTGTAATCGGTGGTTGAGCTGAAGGGTGGGTTGCTGGCAGAGGGTAGACCAAACAAATCATGGCATCGGACTGGGGCGAATCGGATCCTGGCACCAAGAAATTCCAGACGCCTCTCCAGCCTTGCTTCGAGGAAACTGCACGAGGAATCGGAGAGCCTTTCTTAACAAGATTTGCTTCATTCTCAAAACTTGCAGAATGTTCTGGGTCTATTCCCACTTTAGACAGCGAAGAATGTGATCTTTGTATGAGCCAAGGCTTGGGAACTTTGCTAAAGACAGTTTCTCTTCAGACTTCGACCTACTTAGCACATTGCTGTGGGTTGCAGCGACCTCGAGTGACGCTGATTTGGAGACGGGCATGGCCTTGCCTGAGCTGAGCAGGCACAGGCAGATTGCTCCAAATTGGCCCCTCCCCCATTGAAAGCTCACTTGCTAGGACTGCCCACCCCTCAGAAACATGGGGGAGCCAGCCTTCATCTGCCTTGGTTCCTCAGGCCTCCCAAAACCTGGATCAGCTCAACATACGATCCCTGGATCAGGCTAGGAAGAGGGGAGCAGTTGTTAGGTGGAATCCAGTGGACTGGCCCATGCGTTAGAGGAAGGCTTCCTGCCAGCTGTGGCAGAGGGCTGTTGCTGGCCCCTCTCCTGCTTCTGAGCCACATCCCTTCTTCCCTGCCACCTTCCCAGTGAGTGCTGGGCTCTCTCTGCCCTGGTGCCCCTCGAACTGTGAGTACTTAGCCTGGAGATCATAGGGGGAGGCAGAAGAAAGCTGGTGGTTTTACAGGTCTGCACAGCCAGTGCCCTCGGGGGAAGTGCTTGGAGGGGCAGAAAAGCACTGTAGAAGTTCTGGAATAATTCTGGATAAAGTGACAGAGGAAGAAGCACCCTTCTCTGCAGGGTGTTCAGAAATGCCTGCAGGAGGGAGTGTCCTATTGCTGGTCAGTTTGACCCAAGGGGCTCTGAATGACCGCTGCGTTGGTCTTTTGCAGTAGAAATCACCTTGTCCCATCTTGGAATCCTGCTTGCTCTTTTGGCCTACCAGGGACCTTCCGGCAAGTAGCTCTGTCCATAGCTGTGCTGTGGCTAGGAGACCCACGGTGAAGGTGGGGCATGGATTGGTGGGCAGGCAAGCTATGGATGGATCTCGTGCTGGGTTAAAGCCAATGACTAGCCCAGAGAGGACTGGTTTACAGGCCATGACTTACTAGATACCCTCAGTGAGCACCCTCAAACCCAGCATGGGCCTGAGGGCTTTCAGCTGCACGTCTGCATACGTAGGCATGTGTATTTTTTTTCCTAATTTTACTCCCTAAAATGTCAGAACAAGCAAGCAACCCTTTTCCTGGCTGATGACAGGAAAGTCCTGAGTTTTATAATAATAAAGGAAGCCTTGGTTCTCAGTGACACTCACACAGCAAAGATGATGAGGCCGGCCAAGCCAGATTGACCTGTACAGGGACTGTCCCTAGAGAAGACAGCTTTGCCTCTTCCCTGCTGGATGGCAGCTCCTGCTTCCTACCCCGTTGCTCTTCTCCAAAGTCCCTAGCTGCTGTCTTCCAGGCCCTGAAGTCAGTCTGGATTTGGGAAAGGCACATCGGTTTCTCTGGCTGCAGAGAGCTGTTTCCTAACTGCAGAGAGCCCCACTATCTCCCACCATCACTGTCTTGCTGGTTGACCAGCCCTGTGACAGCTTATGACTGTCCAGCAGGAGGAGCTAGTATTCCCTCCAGCATTGGTGGCTGGGCGTGGGATTCCCTCTCCTCTCCTCCCCTTAAGTGAAGCGAAAGGGCCTGCAGGACCCTGGGACAGCTCTGTGTCTGCGAGAGTATGCAGCCCGCAGCAGTCTCTGAAAGCATGGTGTGGGGCCTGTGCTTGACCCAAGGAGTCATTCCAAGTCCTGAGCAGGAATGCCGGTGCCATTCCCAGCCTTGCCTCCCCTCATGGGCTGAGCCGCTGGGAATACAGCTACAAAGGGTTGGGCACGTGAGGCCCTGACAAGCCACCCTTTCCATCTCTGAAGGAATGCTGTGGCCGGGCTCTATCTTCTCCTCAGAGCGACTTTCCTCTTCTCTAGATCCCTCCTGAGATGCTTCCTTTGATACCTTCTGCTTAAACTTCCCTAACGTTAATCTGGGGAGTCCTGTATAAAGATGAAGGCTTTCTCCAGATTGGGATTTCACTAGGGGAATTGTCTCATCACCCCTGGAAAATATACTTAATTTTTCCCTGTGCTTCTTGGCACAAGGTCTTGCAAGGAGCATCCATTGTAAGCAAGAAGGATCAGAAAAGTGTTCCAAGCTCAGTGAAACATCCCTCTGCAAAGTCTGCTGTGTCTGCCTTCTATCCCAAAGTCACCCTCTCTTTCCTTGCCAGAGTCCCCAACTAGCAACCTGACCCCCAGGGATTCCTGGTCACTTGAAGGGTAGATCATCTCATTGACCTCTCTAATCCAGCATCTGGTTCTCCCAGGGACCCACAGTTGAGGGGCACTGTAGCATTAAGGGTAGCCTTTGATAGATTTATTCTTCATTCTTGGTAGCCTTTGCCAGGTTTCATGGAAACAGTTGTGAGGTTTGAGCAACTGTGTGGGATGAGCCTGTGGGGTGAAGGGGAGCTTTTCAGGGAGTGAGCAAGCCTTGAGCCCAGTGGGGCTTCAGAACCCCTCAAGGTCTCAGGGAGGACCCATCATTTGAGGGAGTTTTGACAGAGTCTGATTGCACCAGAGCAGAGGCGGCAATGGGGACGCTCCCTTGGAAGGTTTTTGGGCCTGGAGAGCTGACCTGCCTCTGAGCTTTCCTGAGGAGGCTCCTGGCTACAGGTTCTTTAGGGGCAGGGAAATGGAAGGTGCCCAGGGCCCCCTGTGGCTTGGGGGGGGAGCCGTCCCTCTTCCACAGCCACTCAGTGGAGCCGAAACCAAAGGCAGGACAGCAGGCCAGAATCATCCTCCTGCTCCAAGGCCTTTCTCACCAGCATGGCCGGGAGGGGCGTGGGTGGGGACTGCTGTCCCCTAGCATGCTTGGAAGGTGCTGGTTGAGGAAGAGTGTGGATCCTTGGCCTTTGCCATTGGCGTCCGGAGACATCTCAGTCCTGAGGCTGTGTCTGCCACCCTGCCCGGAGCTGATTCTCCTGCAGGTGACTTGTACTCCCCTCTCCAATCCAGCAGGCTCTCACTGTGCAGCCTGGAAATAAATCTCTCCTGGTATGGAAGGAGGAGTATAAATATCCCTGGAGTGATGTGATCTTACCAGCTGCTATTAATAGGTCCCCAGAGGCTTAGCCAGCCCACATGATGGCTGATACTTAAAGAGGCAGGGTGTCACAAAGGAGCCCCCCTCTAAGTGCTGGAGCACCCGCTAGCCAGAGACAAGAGCAGGCCAAGGGATGGGCTAGGACCCCTCCCCGCCTTGAGAGAGATCTTAAGAGGAGCCTGAAATTGGTGCTCCAAGGCAGGGCTGGAAGGGATCCAGAGCCACTCATAGGCCTTGAGAGCCACCTCTTCTCAAAGCTGTGTGGAAAGGGGGCCTTCCCCCTTCATTGCTGTGGGAGGGAGTGAGGGGCTTCTCCCTCCCCTGTCTTGAAACCCCCCCCATTCAGCTGTCCCTTGGGATTTTCTTGGCCTCTTTCAAATGGCCTATTGCTCACCTTTTTTCCAAAATCCTATAACAGGGGTCTTGTGGACTTCAACTCTCAGAATTCCTCAGCTAGGCACGCTGAGGAATTCTGGGAGTTGAAGTCCAGAAGTCATAAAAGGGCCAAGTTTGAAGATCCCTGTCCTACAAGGTGCATTCTAGCCCATTAGCCATTTTTCTGCAATTGTCAATTGTTACAGTACAATATATGTTTTGAATTTCACACAGAACTGTGCGTTGGCTTCTCCAGCGTGTCATATATTTGTATGAAAGGACGGTGACATGGACTGTTAATTCCGGTTCCTTTCCAATGATTCCCAAGGTGGAATTTGCATGTTTTTTAGCAACTGGGCAATAGGGGTATGTTTTCATTAAATTGCTTATAAAAAATTCCTTTCCTCATCCGCCCCAGCCAGGAATACCTATCTAGGATTTGTTTTGCATATTTTACTTTTTAGTGTTTACTCCAGCAGTTTGGAGAGGAGTTTCTGAAGGTCTTCGATGCTTCTTTATTGTCTTAGCCATGCAAAACTATTTTGGATTGTAAGCAAGTCTGGTCATTTTAGTGCTCAGCCCACTTATGAAGATATTGGTTCCAGCACTTGTCCTTAGAACTTTTCATGTTTGTCTGCTGGAAGAATTGTTGATTGTTTCTCTTCTGTGTTTTCCCTTATCCCAACTCATAATGAAGTTACTGTTTAACCCAGGATAGCTGAAATGCTTTTTTAAAGTCTTGACAGATTTGCCTCTGTCTAAAAATCCGCTGAACTTGGAAAAAGTAATAAGACTTTCTTCTGCAGAAGCCATGCTGATTCTTCAATATGTTTGAACATCTTTAATCCTGCCTCCCCCCCTCGCAGTTTCCCCCGTAATTGAAGTAATCTGCTTTGCCTTGGCCACCTTTGGATGAGAACACCTGGAATGGCGCCTTCTGGAGTGGATCCCTCAGAGGGCTTGGCCGATGGGCCCTCGGGGCCGCCTCCTCTCAGGCAGCGCCAAGCATCCCTTTCCTTAGCTCCGCCAGAGAGGAGGGTCAGATTGCAAACTCGCAGGGGCAGCAGGAGAGATTCTTGGGCCCCACGGTTGAGGGCTTGTGGGGAGTGAGGATGCAAGGTTTGCCAGAGGTCTTGGCGACACCCTGGTACAAGATGGGCGTCCTGAGCAGGAGGTGTGGCATCTGCCGTAGCCTCTTCTTGCCCCTCTGATGATTGCTTTTGTCTTCTGCCCCTCTTCCCCCTCCCCACCCAGGAGGCGTTTGGCCTGACAGGAAGTGGCAGTTGCAGTGGACCCAGAGATACGGCGCTTCCTCCAGTGTCGCTGACAGAAACTTTAGCCAGTCAAATGCACCCTGACAGTAAACTGGCCAATCATGGAAAGGCAGGTAATAGCAATGCGTACCCCGAGTCCCAACCCCACCAAGTGAGCCCCCCTCCCACCAGCCACCTGGGCACTAAAGGTGTGGGCGGGACAGGGAGCCAGGGCACCAAAGTCAGCCAGCCCGCCGCAGGCCCTCTGGCACTGAAAGCCAGCCAGGCTCCTGTTTCTGTCTTTGGGGCCTTGAAGGGCAAAGTCAGGCGGGAGCGCAGTGTCTCCGTGGATTCGGGAGAGCGGCGGGAAGCGACTGCCACCCCACTGGACAAGGAGCTGAAAGGTGAGGGTGCAGTGCCGGCAGGGGGCGGAACAATGGCTCCACTAGGTCCATGGGTGAGGTGGGGTGGGCTGGCATCTCATCTGCCACCCTTTGGACCGAGGAGGGCTCAGTGCAGCCTTTTGCTTGGTAGGCGAGACAGCCCCTCGGAGCAAGAGGCGCTGCGTGCTGGAGAAGAAGCAGCCCTACAGTGGGGACGAGTGGTGCTCTGGGCCGGAGAGCGAGGATGACGACAAGTCCCTGGGCAGCAGCCACAGTGAGTGCCCACAGGCTCAGGCATGACACACACACACACACACCCCTTTGGAGCAGCCATCTCTCTGCTGCCCAAGGAGGCAGCAGCCCAACCTCTGGCAGCCCCTCTCAGGGTGAGACAGCAATGCCTTGGCAAAGCGTGGCTCCTGGAAGCGCCTCCTTCTGCTTCTCACTGCTCTTGCAGGTGCTGGCTTGTCAGCTGGTGCTTTCCAAAGAAACCAGCAGGACGAGGAAATATCCATCATTGCTTGGGTGGGCGCTGGGGATGGGCTATCAGGCCTTTCCGTGGGGGGGGGAAGACTTGGGAAGGCAGGGGCTCAGCCCTCCCAAGCTGGAGAGGTGGCTTGTTAGGTGCTTGTGTATTTGTGGGTGACTAGGGGAGGTTTTCTGGCCTGTCACCTGGTGGGCACTTCAGGGAAGACAGCAAGCTTCGTGGGGCGCTGGGCCCCTCTGGGATGACTTCTCTAGTGCTGCCCCTGCATGCGCGCATCAAGCCGAGCTCTCTCAGCTCTTCCCCAGCCAAGCAAGTGCCACAGCGTTGCTCAGCCTGCCACCGTTGTCCCTCGCAGATTGTCACGTAGCCGAGTCGGCCATGAGCGCAGATACGCAGCTGGGCCCAGGACCCAACCCTTTGCCAGCCCTGAGCGAGAGCAACACGCCTGGCGCCCCTCACAGTGCAGCCCCCAGCCTGCGGTCAGATGCCGGAGGAAAGCAGGGCCTGCAGCTGGTCTACGTCTTCACCACACACCTGGCCAACACGTAAGCCATGGCGCTTCTGTCCCTGACTAGAGCTTGGGCCGGCTTTCGCCTTCGCCTCTGCCAGCCCCAAACCAGGGGGAGGTTTTCCTGCAGGGAGGCTGGGCTTCCCCGCAGCTGGGTCCCCTGATGGCTCTTTGGGTGTCTGCAGGGCTGCAGCGGCTGTCCTTCAGGGCCAGGCAGACTCCATTCTTGGCTACCATCAGCAACATGTGCCCCGGGCAAAGTTGGACCAGGTAAGGCCAGAGATGGGGAGAGGCAGCCGGTTGTGCTGCTGGGAAGGCCAGACCTCATGAGTGGGAGACCTGTGGCCGGAGCAGGGGTGGTTGGCAGTAGACTCCCACTCCCCGCAATCGCCCTCTTTCTCCTTTTGCAGCCTGCCCCTCTCCCGAAGATGCCAGGTGCTGTTGAGCCCCTGCCGCTCCACCTGTCTCCTGCCAATACCCCCCTGCCCCCAAGCAGCCAGGCCCAGGGACAACAGCCTGGGCCCCCCACCCTGGGGCTCGGCCAAGGACCGCTCTCTTCCAGCACTGCCCTTCCGCCAGAGGGTGCCCCGGAGGAAGCTTGCCAGGACCTGACGCCCAACTCGGTGGGAAACGGCAGCAACAGCAGCAGCTCCGTGGCCCCTGGCAGCACCCACCCCAGCACACCCACCACGCTCAGCTCCCTGCAGGCCAGCACTGCAGAGGGCTTGCTGGGGGAAGGGGCCAACACAGCCCCCTCTGCAGCAGGGACCGGGCCCCGCAACCCCCTCAACACCGAAGGCCTCTCCAAGGAGCAGCTGGAGCACCGGGAACGGTCTCTGCAGACTCTGCGGGACATCGAGCGCCTGCTTTTGCGTGGCAGTGAGGCTGAGCCCTTCCTCAAGGGTGGGTCAGGCACCGGGGAAGGGACCGTCCTGCCCCCCCAGGCTGCAGTTCCGCAGCCTCCCCAGGCTGCCCTCCCTGGAACAGGTGTGAAGAAGTATGAGGAGCCGCTGCAGTCCATGATCTCACAGACGCAGAGCCTGGGGGGCCCAGGCCTCGAGCAGGAGGGGCCGTTGCCTCCGGGGGTGGACCTGGGCCAGCCAATGAATGTGGTGCTGCAGCGCCTCAGCCAGGACAGCTTAACCCCCGAGCAGGTGGCCTGGCGCAAGCTGCAGGAGGAGTACTACGAGGAGAAGCGCCGCAAGGAGGAGCAAACCAGCTTGCATGCAGGGCGGCCGCTACAGGAGGTGATCACGCCCCTGGGCGGCGTGATGCTTCGGGGGCCCCCGCCACCCTACCACAGCCGGCCTGGGGAGCAATGGCTGCTGCGGGGGACACCCCTGGACGTTCAGGAGCAGCTGCGGCCCACCTTTCCTGGCCCCCGTGGCTTCCCGGGCGGCCACATCCAGAGGGGCTTTGCCACGATGCCAAGCCTGCCCCTGGAGTCCCTTGGCCCAGTCGGAAGCGGGTCCCGCCCCTTGCAGCCTGGCCTACCATGGGGTGAGGATCTGTCCCTCAGGGGTCCGGGACACTTCACACCCGGGGGCCTCTCGTACCCCCCAGGGCAGGGCGAGGCCGAGCGCTTCCTCCCGTCCCGGGCCCGCGAGGACCTGTTGCGGCACCCCCTGCTGGAGAAGCGGCCGGGCTCTCTGGGGCTGGAGATGGAGCGCATTTTGCCCACCCACCGGCAGGTAGAGCCTGGCATATTTGCCGGGGAAGGCCTGGGCCTGGAGTTTGGGGGGGGGCGGGCCCTGATGAGCCCCCCACCCCCGCTGCAGGAGGTGGAGGCAAGTGCCCTGGCCACCCCTACCAACTTGAACATGAACGTGAACATGAACATGAACCTGAGTGTGCAGATGACGCAGCAGCAGCAGCACCAGCACATGCTGCTGAGCCAGAAAGCCCGTGGGCCGGAGCTGATGCCCCCTGAGGAAATGGCCCGAGGGCGCGCCCCAACGGCACTGGGGCCATGATGGGGGGCCCGCCGAAGATGCTGATGGGCTCGCCCTTCCCAGGCCAGGGACCGCCCCCACCGCAGCAGCAGCAACAGCAGCAGAGCTTCTCGGCTGTGCAGGGCCCCTATGCCCCTGTGCCACCAGAGATGGGCGGCACAACTGATATGTTTGGTCCAGAGCAGGGAAGCATTGCCAGCACCCCACGCCTCAGCCATGTTCCCCTGCCACCCAGCACCAGCGCCTCGTCCACGAACATGCATGCAGCCCCCATCCGGGGCCTGGGCCGCCGCCCCTCGGACCTAGCCCTCAACATGGGGCAGATGAACTCACCCAGTGTGGGCCGCCTCAAGTCTCCCACTCTCAGCCAAGCCCATTCCCCCCTGGGCACGTCCCCTTCGGCCAGCCTCAAGTCACCGCAGACGCCTTCTGCCCTGGTCAGCCTGCCAACTGCCGCTGCCAGCAGTGCCCCTCTCAAGTCCCCCCAGGTGCTGGGTTCCGTGCTCAACGTCCGCTCTCCAACTAGTTCGCCTGGCCATCTCAAATCGCCTTCCATGGCTGTTTCTTCCCCAGGATGGGCACCCTCCCCCAAGGCCAGTCTCGCCAGCCCAGGCAAGCCAGCCCTTGGAATGGGCAACTCCGCCCCCTTGGGCCACCTTGAGCAAGGTAAGGGCAGGGGTCTTGCCAGGGGCTGAGGGGGCTGAGCGGTTCTGGAAAATGAGAATTTCTGGAGATTTTCTGGTTTTCAGGGAGTACCTTCTATTGGCTTTCTCTGTGAAGAAAGAGGAGGGGTCTTTTGACAGACAATGTTGTAAATACGGCTCCCCATTCCTTTCCTCTTGCTAAGCCCCCTTGCAGGAGGGACAGCCAGGCACCTGGTATCAGATCGACCTCTGAGCTGTCGATAATCCATGCTCCCACTTTATTGCAAGAGACTCTCTAGGATCACGCCTGTCCTCTGAGAAATGCCAGCTCACCTCAGTCATGTTGGGTTTTCTGGTTTTGATGAAAGCACTAAAGGCCCCATGTTACGTTGAAACCAGCGCCCTTTCGATCAAGGGCCCCTTGCTTCCACGTGGCTTGTGGGAGGCCCCATAATAAAATGTGGACAGGGACAAAACTGCCAGCATTTTCTCTTGGTTTTAATTGAATGAAATACATCCAATATGGTGATTGCAAGGCTCTATTCCCCTCAAAGAGGGCCCGTTCCTTTGTGGTTCATAGAGGTCACCTTCTTGCTTAAGGCTGCTTATTGCTGTTGTTTGCAATCAGTCTGCATTGTAGTTACGAAGAGCACACGCATTCCTGTGCTCATTATGGCAGGGGGAAACGATGTGCCATATTTTCCTTTTAGGTCTGAAATGTCAAAAGCAACCCACCCCTTCCCTAAAGTAATCCAGCAGATCCAAGTGTGAGATTAACACACTGCATTGAGAGAAACCCGTGAGCACCCCAAAGGCTCCTGTGGATCACCCGTGAGGATGGCTGTTTAGACCCCTCAAACGTGTGGCATCTTCTCAGCACCAGTTTGGGGAGCGAGAAGGGAAGAGAGCAGCTGCCCTCCTGGCCAGGCCAGTGGGCTTCCTGGATGCCTTTGGCTTGCGCGATTTACGCCATGTCAGCTCTTTTCCAGCTCAGCTCCGTGGGTTGCCCAATTGCTTTGGCTTGGCCTGAAGATGTTTTTGCCTCTCTCTTGCAGGTGCTGTGCCCTCTGGATCTCGGAGCAGCTCCTCTGCCCCGCCTGGCAACACCTCTGGCCCCCTGAACCCCAACCTTCCTTTTCCTTCCTCTCCAGATCCACCCCCATCCCAGAACCCTTTGTCCCTCATGATGTCCCAGATGTCCAAATACGCCATGCCCAGCTCCACGCCACTCTACCACAACGCCATCAAGACCATCGCCACCTCAGATGACGAACTGCTCCCGGATCGCCCCCTACTGCCGCCTGGGGCTATGTCTGGTAAGGGGGGGGGGTTAGGGGAGCACTCAGAAGGCCGGCTGTGGGCACCTGCACCTCTGGACCGCCCATGGAGCAAGGATTACCCCTGGTGCCTTTCTGCCCCATTCCCGGGGTCCCAGTGGGCCTCTCGGCTCCAGATGGGCCCAGCTGTAGGAGCAAGCTGCCTATCCCTGATGCAGGCGCTCCAGCTAGGAACTTGTCTTTGCCTTCCCAATGGAGTTTGTTGCAGTTTCCCTTTGTTCTTGGGACAGACTCTGGTCTAGGGAAGTGAACAAGAGAAACAGGACCCTCCTTTCTCCCCAAAGCCTGCAGCAATTGGGGGGGGGGGCTAGGTAGCAGTAAGCATGAGCTTCAGAGGCCAGACTGTTTCCGAGGACCTTCCAGACAGCTGGGCCTCTGCCTACCACCGGAGTCTGGAGGGAGGTAACCTTGAAAAAGGAATGCAGGAACTTTTCAGAAAAAGGAGGGGAGGGAAGGCCAGATAAGCCAGCCTTGCGTCTTTGGCACAAGGAGCCTCTGCTTGGACCCCATAACAGTGCAGTTGAGTTGGGGCGTGCTTGGGGTATCTTCTGCCCCAGGGCTTAACACCTTTCTTTTTCCCTCGCAGGCATGGGCGGAAACCAGCCCAACCCAATGCATGTGAACGCTGTGGGGCCAGGGGCCGTGCCAAGCCCTATGGGCCTGAACCTCCCTGGACAGCAGCTACTCTCCCAGGAAGTGGCAGCCCCCCCGATGTCTTCGCCCAGCCCCCTGGGAACCGGCCTCCCCTTGCACAGCGGCACTCCTGTGCAAAACCCGATGATGCCCCCTGGCCCCCCAGACTCCCTGGGCCAGCCCTGCGGCCCTTCTGGCCAGCTGGTGTTCCCGCCACGTCTGCAGCCGCCCCCTGCCAATGGGGGTGGCATTCCGGTGGTCCCAGGAGGGGCGGCTGGACCTGGGTTGCAGCCGCCGCCTGCCCCACAGCAACAACACTACCCACCTGGCTTGGGAGTCGTTCCAGAGGAGCTGCCCCCCCAGCAAGCACCCCCTCAGCAGCGCCTGGCCGGGCGGCTGCCAGAGCACTTCCCACCAGGGCTGCCTGTTGTGGCCTCCGTGTTGAGCGATCCAGAGCTGAGCGATGTGATCCGCCCCACCCCGACAGGTATCCCCGAGTTCGACCTTTCCCGCATCATCCCTTCAGAGAAGCCCAGCAGCACGCTGCAGTACTTCCCCAAGGGGGAGGGCCAGGGGGCCAAGGCCCTCCCCCCCTCCAACCTGCACCTGGCGAACTTGCAGAACATGATGTCGGAACCAGGCCCGGCCCGGCCTGGCCCGCAAGTGATACCACGCGGAATGGCCTTGTGCCATCCTGGACAGATGCCCATGCTGGGCAGGACAGGCCTGCCTCCCCAGCAGGGCCTGGTAGGTAACAGCCTGCCCCAAGGGCTGGTGCTGCCCCAGCAGAGCCTCCTGGCCCAGCAGAACTTCCTGCTCATGCAGGCCAAACAGCGCAGCATGTCTGTCTCTGGAGAGATGTACGGGCAACCGGCGGGGCACCTGATCTCCCCCCAGGGCTCGCTTATGGGCCCCCCATCCCAGCAGAACCTCATGGTCTCCATGCGTCAGCGCAGCGTCTCCCTGGATGGCCAGATGAGCTACGGCCCTGGAGCCAGCAACATGGCCAACCTGCCCTTCTAAGGAATGTCCTGGTGGGGATACTTTGCTTCTGAAAGCCATCGGAGGGGTGGGAGAGATTGGGAGGTGTCCATAGGTCTGGGGGAGCAACTGCTGGCCCAGCCTTCTCAGGGTCAGAGAAGACAAGTGGAAAAGGTGGAAGCCCTCGACCAATTACCCTGGTGCCAAGGGCAAGCCTCCCCCCCCCCCAGCAGCTGCCTGCCTCTTCCCCCCCCCCCCGCTGCAGAGTGGAGTCCGTGCACAGGCTGCCCACAGGGCTGGACACTCCAGGCTGGTGCTGGGACAGGGCCTGAGGTGAAGTTTGCAGCCCGCTCCCCCCCCCTCAGCTCTTCTTACAGGACATTGGCCATGAAGAAACGCCACGGGACTGGATTGGCCCTTTCCCCGGTGCTGTGGATGGATCATGGCCAGCGCAGGAAACGAGGGGGGCTTCCACACTGCTGGGCACTGCCCCTTCAGCAGTTTTATGTGTTCGCTTGTGGTCCCACTGGGGGCCAGTCTGGGTGAGTCCACCCTAGCCTTTCCCTTTGCTTCCGTGCCACCTCACATTTTCTGCCCTGCCCCTTGCTGGAGAATAGCCATCGGACAGCTCCTTGGCCCAATTCCACTTCCTGGGCTTGGAATAACATGGAAGTGGGGGGGAGGAGGAGGTTTGGGGATCCAAGATTGAAATATCTCCCATCAAAAGGAAGGTTGTCCGCAATGAACTAAGAGAGGCTCAAAGCAAGTGGTTGCCTCCCAGCAATGCCAGAGACCCAGTGAGGCTCATAGAGAGAAGGCAGTGAAGTTCATAAGGGGGAAGGTTGAGGAGGCTATAAAAAGTGTGCTGAGGAGTATGGATAACAAAATTTGAAGCGAGGGGGGTCTCTTGGGGCATTTATCTTAGTGAAGGCCTGGCCAAGAGTCTTTCCACAACAGTAACCACCCCACCCCGCTGCAGAAGGTGCTTCCAGCGATCCACTGTCATGCTCATCTCCCCACCCCACCCTGCCTCCCCAGCTCTGCCTTGTGCTGTGAATGTGGTCCTGTCTTGTGTCTCCCGCCTCCCTTCCTGCTTCTCTCTCCAGCTTGAGTCGCCTCTGCTGAGGCCCCCCCCCCACTTCCTCTGCCATCTGCTGAGGCCAAGGGAGGAGTGCGTCAGGGTGACCCAGAACCCCTGCGGCTGACCGGAGGGGGGGGCACTGGATGCTCCATGCCATCCCGTCAGCCATGCATTTTGTACCAGTCTATAAATAAATATATATAAATAAATATAAATATAAATATATAAATACAATATGTGAAGACATCTTACTGGTTTTTATTTTGAAATGATTTCTAGGCTTGTTTTGGGGTATCTGTGCTGTGTATTGACCTGTTTTATAGGTGCCTTTTTATTAAAAAAAAATCAAAACTTCTGCCAGGAGCTTTCTGTGGTGTCTTTATCTCTACTGGTGCAGGGACTGGCACTGGACAACTGGATGGAACCCTTGCCACCCTCGAGATTGGAGAAGGACTTCCCATCATGACTGGGGGTGCTCTTCCCCCAGATTGCTGGAAGCACCCCCATCCTCTCCTTCCCAGCTCTTTTAAGTAGTTCTGTACAGTGAAATGTTTTCTTGTTACAGTTGGTAGAGGGTTGCTTTATATGTCAATGTTTTAGATTTTTAACACTTCATGATAGAGGAGAACGTTTGTACTCAGGGTTGAAATGAGGAGTTCTTGGTGCTGTCTGAGCTGGGTGGTTTCCTTGCAGACGTTTCATTACCCAAACTAGGTAAATTCATCTGAGCTAACAGCAAGCAGTAAACAGCCGAACCAAGTCCACTCCCACCACCACTGGGAACATAAACAGAGAGCAAGCCCCACTCTCTTCTAGCACTGATGAAGTTACCTAACTTGGGTAATGAAACGTCTGCAAGGAAACCACCCAGCTCGGAGAGCGCCTAGGACCCCTCAAGTTCAACATGGCAGAAGCTTCAGAGGGGAAAAAGATTCTCTGGCACTCCCTTGGGGAGGGGCTCCCGAGTGCCAGTGGCCCTGAAAAGCCAGCAGGCACACCTGATGCCCCCAAGCCCTGTCCCCCTCATAGCCCTAAGTAAGGGTTGGGGGGGAGGGCTGTACCAGCTACAAGCTGAGCAAAATGCCTCTGCTTCCTCCGCTGGGGCTTCTGCTTACCAGAAGGAAGAGTCCTTCTGCTCTGCCCTCGGGAGTGGGGAAGTTGTGCGGCATCTCTGCTGGGATCTCCTCTGCTACCCTTCTGGCTGGGGGTTATTTGGTGGGAAGGGGTTCCTCTCCTGCTCTGTGACACAAGGCAGAATTGCAGAGCACACACAACGCCAATTACAGAGCAGCCATTCTTGGTCCTGTTGTGCATATAGTCCCATGTGGGGATGGAGGGAAGGCCGAGGCTGGTCAGATCAAGAAAGACAGCTGGGTCATCTGCAAGCAGAGTGAAGGGCCTCTGAGGGCTGGTGGTCCAACCCTATAGTGACTTTAGTCGGAAGAGGCCAGGAAATGGACCCAACAGCCCCTCCCCCAGCACACCTTTCCCAAAGGGGCGGGGCAGCTGGGGGATCCCAGTCTACCATCTGGGCATGACCTCCAAGCCTGCCAGGGAGTTCAGGGCAACCCTGGACCTGTCTCAAGTTATCCCTAGTCTGACTCACACTGGAGGCCCCCACCGGGCCCTGTGTTGCTCTCAGGACAATGGTGACTTCATTTGAGGTGGGAGCATGCTACACTTGCCACGGATGGCCCCCCCCCACCTGTGCTGCTTGCTGAGCCCCCTTCCTTGGGCCAATTGGCAGGAGAAGGGGAGAAGGCTGGCGATGTCTTCATTTTGCACAAGGGAAAGTACAAGGAATGCAATCTATTTCATGCATTCTCCATGGGGAATATTTACAGCAAAAATACAAAATTAATGGGAATTTTGTTAAACAATCCTGGGATTTTTACAGATCCATGATCATAGCAAAGCCAAGTCTGAATGGGCCCTTGATGGTGCAGCTCTGGGAGGAGCACAGTTGCAAAGCAAAGGGGGGTTTCTAAAGACAGCAGTTGAAAGCTTGGCTCCCACAGGTGATGAGACAGATGCCATTGGAAGTTTGATGAGATGTAGGAGGCTTGATTTCCTTAGGGCATGGAGGATATCCTCGCCTGCACGGAGATAGACAAGCTGCAAACTGAAAAGCCTGCCCAAAACAGATCCTGCCTGGGGCAGACAAAAGCAAAAGCAGCCGGTGTTAAAGGGCCTGTGTCAGGGCCTGGGCAGTGGGATTCCCTGCTCAAATCCAAGATGCCTGGGTTGATTGTGACATCAGCACTGACCATGGCAAGGGTCTCTGGGGGCGGGTCATGCCCTTGGACATTGCTTTATAGAGGCCAAAGAGGCTGCCATACTCCTTTGGACTCTCCTTCTGGTTGCTTAAAAGGGACTCTGCTGAAGATTAGAAAGCCCAAACCAGGCCCTGGAGCTGGATCTATCCTCTCCATTTCCAGTTGCATTCGGTGGGGAGGAGGGATGCCTGGGGTCCAGATATGCAACATGCACTGGAGGGAGGCAAGGAGGACATAGCCCTGCTTTCGAGTAAATGTGATCTCTGAACATCACACTCCAAACCAGGACAATCGCAGGCTGGGGGTAGCAGCCAAGCCATTCATAGCTTCCTGGGAAACAGCGTTTAAGCAATCGGAGAACATACATGGGACTTAGCCTCTATTTTGGGCCTGTCAGGTCCAGGCCTTCCTCCTGACACTCTTGGCTATTTGGGTCTTTGTGAGAAGTGAACCGATCTGGCAGACTAGAAGACGTAGCATTTCCAGAGTAGGAGGAGGCCCCGTGCCGAACACTGGAGATGTTGGTCTCTGTGCTGCTCTCAATTCTGCAGGTGCCCAGAATCTCCTGCAGGGTCCCCTGACTCAGACAGCCCACGTCGTGCAGGATTCGACAAAAGTCATGGCGGAACCGGATGCCCACGAAGGCGTAGAGGATGGGATTCAGGCAGCAGTGGCTGTAGGCAAGCACCTCGCTCACAACAATGGCACTGCTCAGCCCCTGATCAAGCGTACAGGACTTCCCTGTGACCTCCAGCTTGGCAAGTGTGTCCCAGAAGATGACCACATTGTAAGGGGTCCAGCAAAGCAGGAAGACACTTGTGACCGCAATGGCCACCTTCACAGCTTTTTGTCGCTGGAGCCGCTGGGACTGGCAGAGGAGTCTCACAATGGCTGTGTAGCAATAGCACATGACCCCGAATGGTAGGAAGAAGCCCACCAGGTGGTAGAGGAAGCGCTTGGCCAGCCAGGAGTTGATGCCATGTGTGCCATACTCCCTGAAGTGGCAGACACTCAGGTTATGGCTTTGGGCCCAGACCTCTGTGAAGAGTAGGTCAGGCACGGCCAGCAGAAAGGAAAGCAGCCAGATGCCCAGGCAGGTCAGGTGGATGGAGAAGCCACGCTGCTTCTGGAAGGTCTGCAGGGCGCAGACCACAGCCAGGTAGCGGTCCACGCTGATGCAGCCAAGCAGCAGGCTGCTGCTGTAGAAGCTCATCCGGTTGGCAGCACTCAGCAGCTTGCAGAGGAAGAGGCCGAAGACCCAGCCCGCCAAGCTCTCCACCACGCCAAAGGGGAAGGTGAGCAGCAGCAGCAGGTTGGCCAGGGCAAAGTGGAGCAGGAAGAGCTCTGTGGAAGTGCGGGAGCGTCTGTAGCGCCACAGGATGACCATCACCAGAAGGTTGCCCAGGCCACCAAGCAGGAAGATCAGCAGGTGGACAAAGGGCACCAGGACACTCTGAAAGGACTGCCTGGGGCTGCCCTCCGCCTGAGGACATAGATAATCCTCATAGGAGTAGTTCCCTTCGTTGTCGGTTAGGTTGTAGTCAAAGGTCTGGAAAGAAATAACGGGGAAAGGGGATTTATGGACAGGGGCTTCTGTGTGCTGGTCTTTGCAGAGAGGGGCTGCTATCCAGACCCCCCCATCCCCCCCATCCTTGCCTCCTCCAACGGCGGGGACAATCATCCCTTGGGCACTGGACAAACAGGGAAGATCAAGAAACAACTGCCGATTGAAATCTGGGTGGCCCCAGATTGCTTCTAGAGGCACCTGTTACTTTTGTACCTCAAGATATTTAACAGTAGCTTCTGCATGTCTGAAGCAGACAATGAGTGAGTTGCCCCCCCCTTTAAAAAAACTCATTTCCCAGATCCCCATTCCAGCCTCAGGTGCTGCAATTGTCTTCATGCTGACCTAGCAGAGCAGGATGGGAGCAGTCGGGGCCCTCAAAGATGAGTCACCACAATGGGCGCTGCCCCCAAGTGCCCTGGCCACGGAAGAGAGCCTGTGCTAAACAGCCAACAAGAGGCCAATGAGCATCCGTCCCCTCTGACCTGTGCAGGAGCAAACAAATGGAGGCTTTGCTCATTGGCACAACCCCTGGCTGGCAGGTAAGCCAGTGGAGCAGGGAGATTCTTCCTAGTATGGAGAGAAGCTGATTCAAGGATTCTTTTCCCTGAAGAGGGAAAAAATTCCTTCTGTACTTGCACTCTAATATTTTGGATTTTCTTCTCTCTTTTTGAGGGGGGTCATTTCCACAAATCAATTAAACTTTATTTATTCATTTTTCAAACCAAGCCCTTGCCAGGCCTTTTAAGGGTTTTTTTAAATGTGCAAAGCTGCTGTTTCAAAAGGTGAAGAGGAAGCAGATGTTGAAATTGAAGGGGGGGGGGGGTGTTCATTGCAGTCTTTCCTTAAAGAAGAAGTTGTGCAGTTTCAATTGTTGAATTAACTTTGAATTTAAAAATGGAGTTGCAAGCCAGGAAACCAATTGCAATCTTAGAACTGAATCCTATACTTCTGCTCAAAAGTCAGCCCCATACAGAGTCCTGCTATATGCTGTATTTCCTCAAGAAAGCGGGAGAGGAACATGAACTGGAAACACAAGTGAGGAAGAAAGCAAGTATGGGGGTGGGGGGTGCGGAAGTGTTTATCCTTTTTTCTCCTCAAAGCTGAAAGGCCCCCCCCCCCGCAGTTAGTTCACCCTTTTCCTCCTTCCATGGCGTGGGGGTGGGGCACACACACAGCAATGCAGATACATTGATTACACGTTAATCCCAAAATGGTTGAGATCCTCTATAAAATCCCAGATTATAATCCAAACTCAACTAAATTTTCAAAGTAGTTTCAATTAACAAGTTTATCCAAATATTCTGTTTGCAAAGAGAAGCAATCTAAGGTGTTTTTAACCAGGTGGCCATGAGAGGATGAACTGGCCTAAATACCTAAATACCCCCATGGTGCCCAACCCTGCAGAGCTGCTGCTTTGAGGTGTGCCCAGCCAATTTGGTTGCAGCAGGGTGGGGACCCTCATCAGCCCTGAGTGAGGGGACAGAGGGAGAGGAAAAAAGGGAAGTCTCTCTTCTCCCCTAGGGGACTGAGGGGTTCTGGTGACTGGCTCTCAGCGGAAATCTCACAGGCCCTGCAGATGGCTGCTTCCGCTGCTATCAAAGCCCATAATTCTTTTGCAGAGAGGCTCAGATCTCTGTGTTCCTTTTGTCTCCACTTTAAGGGGTCCTCCAGGCTTCTTCCAACCTTGCCTCTCCCATCGCACTCATGCACTCAGAAGGAAGTGACTGCTTACCCCCCCCTTTTTTTTTTTTTACTAATTTCCAAAAGCATTCACACAAAGAGAAGGGGGTTACAGCTTCTGCCCCTTCTCTTTGTGTGAATGCTTTTGGAAATTAGTAAAAAAAAAAAGAGAGAGAGAGAGAGAGAGAGGTAAGCAGTCACTTCCTTCTGAACATGGCCCTTGATTTTTTTTGTAACAGGCCCCCAGAGGCAGATTCCAACTCAGAAGACAAGGGGCCCAAAAACAGGAAGACCAGGCAGAAGAACTGCAGAGGAGAATCAGCAGCTCTTTTCTGGCCCTGGTTGGCATCTGATTGTTTTAGCACTTGCACCCAGCCTTCCCCAGATGCACATGGACACCCATGTGGAAGTTGAGCGTGTGGCAGCAACCAGGGGCTTTCAGCCAAGGAAGCCATCAACCCCCTTGCCCCATGGGCAAAGTATTGGAGGAGGTGAAAGCGCCCTGCATCAGAGGGATCATGGCTGAGCAATACAGGTTCTAGGGCCAGGTGCTCTCCTGCCCAATTGATAAAAGCCAAGTCTTGGGGTCTCTTGAAGACAACCTGGCTGCACATCTCGCAATCGACACAATCTCCCTCCCAGTAGAATTCAGCCCAAGGGCAAAAAATTAGCATTCCTCCACCCTCCAGAGCAGTGCTTCTCAACGTTGGTGTGACGGCGACTCCCGTCACACAAACGTTCTGCGCATGCGCCGGCCCGCGCGCATGGGGGCGGGCCCCACGCGCGGCGCCCCATGCGCAATGCGCATGCGCACCGCCCCCCACACGCAGCGCGCGTGCACGGCGCCGCCCCCATGCGCGGCGCTCCCCCCATGCACGGCGCGTGTGCAGGCACCGCAAAAAATGGCGGATCGCCGCCTTTGGCGACCCCCGAAAAATGGGCGATCGACCCCAAATGGGGTCGCGACCCATAGGTTGAGAACCGCTGCTCCAGAGGGATTCCCCATCCTTCAGCCCAGGCCCAAGCGGCTTCTCTGGCCTCAGAGGCTCCTGCCCATTGGGCTATCTCTGCCTCGGCCCTGTTCACAGAGCAGCCTTGGTCTGTGTCAGAGTTGCTGGCAGCACTCACCCAGTTCATGACGTTCTCCAGGGTGACCCTAAACTCGGCCATGATTAGGAAGTAACTAACACACAGGGATGCTCACCCTGTTGTTGGTTCAGCAGAGAAATGATCAGGCAAGGGAGGGCCAAGCAAGAGCAGGAGCGTCCTAATTTGCAAGCCAAATTAAGTTTCAAGATTCTTATTACATAAAACCACTTTTTAAGAAGTTTCCATCTTCTGTTAGAGTAGAAGGTGACTCAACCCAAGCCAGTCAGGTGTGTGATGTACAGCTTCCCCTTGTGCACACCAAATAGACGTGGATATTCAGGTCTTGTTTCCACCATTATTTGCCCTGCCCCTCTAGTTTGTTAAGCTATACAGAAACTGTACCAATAAACTCCTTCTAAAATTTGATTCATTCAAATAGGAAACTACATATCTATCAGCTGGAATTGGTTATAGCTAATTTAATGAAAAGGACTAGGGGGTGACATGATAGTAGCCTTCCAATATTTGAGGGGCTGCCACAAAGAAGAGGGAGTCAAGCTATTCTCCAAAGCACCTGAAGGCAGGACAAGAAGCAACGGATGGAAACTAATCAAGGAAAGAAGCAACCTGGAACTAAGGAGAAATTTCCTGACAGTGAGAACAATTAATCAGTGGAACAACCTGCCTCCAGAAGCGGTGAATGCTCCAACACTGGAAGTTTTTAAGAAGAGACTGGACAGCCATTTGTCCGAAATGGTATAGGGTTTCCTGCCCGAGCAGGTTAGACTAGATGACCTCCAAGGTCCCTTTCCAATTCTGTTATTCTGTTCTTATCAGACTGGGCAAAGATCACTTCCAGGACTGGGTTTTGTTAATGTTACACCTATGAACTTATACAATGGAAACAATGTTGGTAGGAAGTTGGTAATTCCTGAATTGGAGTTTTATTCCTAACTGGGAACAAAGTTTAGCCGGTGTCCTTATTCCCAGCTTGCTGCTGTTGCTGGGCTGTTACGAAAAAGATCCACGCCACTAAATATTGATGCTTTAGTATAAAATGACTGTGCTAGAATTCACAAGCTCGTTCAGTGTCCCCGAAGGGTTCTGCTGCCAGAGCTTCCAAGGCCAGCCCGCCCAGCACCCGGGCGGGCCCCACTGTCCGTCCTCCGCGCTCCCCCTACGGCAGCCGCTCAAACGCCCGCGGGCTTGCCACGCTCCGGGCCGCAGAGGCTACTCGAGGAGGGCTTTGCGTGGTCCGCTGGGCTTCAGGGACCGAGAGAACCTCCCTCGGCTCGGCCAGCACCGGACAGGCAGCCCCGGGGACGACACCGGGCCGCGCCGAAGGGCGCCGGACGGGAGCAGAACCGCCCCTTCCCCCCTCCGGGCGCCCCCCCAGCAGCTGAGCCGAGGGAGCCCCGCGGGGGGGGGGCGGGAGGGGCGGCTCGCAGAGGCCTCCCGCTGCCGGAGCCGCCCAGCACGCCGCAGGGGTGGTGGTGCGGGAGACGGCTCTTAGGACGCCTGCGCGGCCGGGCGGTGGGTGTGGCTCGAGGGGGTGGAGGAGGAGGGCGGGCGCGCGCCAGGACGGAAGGAAGGAGGAAGGGAAGGGCCGCCATCTTGTTGTCGCGTCGCCGCTGCCGCCATAGTCCGAGCGGAGCCACGGCCGACGGGCTGCGAGACGGGCCGAGCCGGAGCGGGAAGCGAGCGCGGCCGCCGGGCAGGCAGGTAGGCGGGCGGGGGAGTTGCTGCGGCCGCCCTGGGCCGGCCTGCCGGCGGTGGAGAACGGCACTGCTCACCCAGGCTCGGCGGCGGCGGCCGGGCGAGTGGGCCTTTCGGCGCAGCGAGGGCCAGGACTGAGCACGTCTCTGACCATCCGGCCAGAGTCGCAAGGCCGAGAGCGCCCCGCCTTCGCGCCGCTCCACTCCGGAGCGAGGCCTCCCGCGCGTCCTCCGGGCGGCCTGGCCTGACGCGAGGCCGAGGTTGCCGCAGCCGCCGCCGGCAGGGCCTGAGACAAAGGCAGGGAAGCGCGTCCCTCGGAGGGCTGCCTGAAGCAGCGGCCTTGACCCCGGGCGGGGCTAGCGGGGGGGCGGTGTTGAGAGGCCCCTCAGCGGCGCAGCTTGGCGGGGAAGCTTCCCCAAGCGGAGTCCGTTTAAAGGCGTAGGAGGAACGCTGCCCTCCGCCGATGGGCGTCTTGTGCCCCCAGCCCATCCATCCGCCGCCCCCGGAAGGCCGCTCTTCGGAGGGGAGCGGGGCCCGGGACTGGGGTTGCCGGCCTTTGAGGTTACTTGCATCCCCCAAACTTACTTGGAAGAAGTACTAACGGCCTTCTCTGTCTTATTTTCAGATAGAAGTGAGTAGATTGGACCGAACTCAAGCGTGTTAGAAGACTTTTTAAAAAGTTGATCCACAGTGCATCAGCGCAAGTGACTGGTTTATCTTGAGTGACTTTACAGGTGCTTGCCTGTGTTGCAATAAGAGACTCATATATTGAGCAGGACCTAATTTATCTCTTCATCTTGGAGAGTCTAATAAACTGTTACAGTTTCCGTACTCACAACTGTTTGGAAGTTGAAAGACATTTAAAAGGCAAACATGAGTACGGCCAGAACAGAGAACCCTGTTATAATGGGTCTCTCCAGTCAAAATGGACAGCTGAGGGGCCCAGTAAAACCTGGTGGTGGTCCAGGGAGCGGGGGGACACAGGCTCAGCAACAGATAAACCAGCTGAAACATCCCAACACAATCAACAACGGCACTCAGCAGCAAGCACAGAGCATGGCCTCCACTATCAAGTGAGTTCTTGTCTAGAGCATCAGCAGCCATCTTGAGATACCCAGAATGTCCTCCGAATTTTGGCTTCTGGGTGGCGTGTGAGCGCTTTCCTTCTTGTACCTGTTTTATCAACTACAGCAATATTTGGTGTTATTTCTGAATTGCATTTGTCATATTTTAGTTATTCATCTTTTGCTTCCTATTGTTACTACATAATGCTTGTCAGTTGCATAGGGTGACCAATTTTTTTAAAAAATACAGCTTTTCTGTAACTTGCACAGAGTTTAATTTAGCATGGGATGAAGCAAAGGGTAACAATATCTAGCTGTTAGAAGACCCTAAAGGAAGGCTGCCTGCTGAGCAATCTGGAGGCTTCCTAGCTCTGCTGGATTTCTATGAATGGGAACCTCCACAATTGCAGACACCCCCTCCCCACACTGCAATAGAGGTCCTTGATACCTCTGTTAACTGGAAGCCCACTACAGATTTTTCAACTGTGCCCGGGTGAATGGAGAAGCACATTTGCTTATTAAGTTTATATGCCACCAATCTTACTATCAAAAGAACTTTGGGCAGCATACTGGGAAAAAGGCTCCAGTGATTTAGGACAGGTGCTTTAGGAAGCGTTAAAGGAAAAAACCAGCACCTTAAATTCAACTCAACACACTAAGCCTTTGGGCTATCACTAGAATTGTTTTATGTTTATCAGAACTGATATTGAGTTTCCTTGGCTAAAATCAGGGATCAGTTTGCTTGCTGCATTAGGGATCAATTAAAGTAGAGAATCAACATAGACAATCCTGTATATTTGGGAGGTTTCCTTACTAGTAGCAAGTTTATTAAGTACCGTTGTATTCATGGAAATGGAAGTGGTGAATCATGTAATTGCTTCAGAGGATTTCCAAAGAGTTACCCAGCCTAAAACAGGTAATGTTTGGATCATATTGGTGCAAGTATCTCTGGTATATCTTTTCTGGAGGAAACAGTATTGATTCTTTTTAACAGAACATTTATTTGCAGTAGTTTGCCTTGATCCTGTGGTCACTGCCCATTTAAACCAAACACTCCAATCTGCCTGGTTTAATAGAACTATGAAAGGAAGAGTACAGTGGGATGATCTGTTGTTTCACATAGAGCCAAATAGGGAGCCTGGGACTTCCTAGGGAAAACAACCAACCGTCTTCCAGTTTTGAGTAACTGCTCTGGGAGTAGTGGCAGACACGGCAGGACAGGGTCTTCTGCCACAGCTGAATTAGATTGCTGTAATTAGCTCTAGAGAGATCTTGGAGTACCACCTGGGTGTCCTTGTATGCATCCTGGCATGTTAAAAGTGCTTGTATTCAAGACCACAGGTCTTCAGTCCTGATGCATAGCTCACCATTCTGGAGTGCCCGTAGCTTGCAAAATGTTGGGAAAGTAGCTTCAGTTATGATCTGTTGCATTTTTTACATTTGAAAACAATGATTGTGAAAGTTTCTTCTAGGCTTTTAACACACCATGGTGTAGTGGCTAAAGTCCTGGAAAGTACTGGTACAAATACACTTTGAACAGTGGGAGCAGTTGATTTTTGTTTATGTTACCAATTGTGTGTATCTTACTAAAACGAAGGCTGCTGTTTTGAGATATGGAGAAAAGGATACATAACTGTGACTGAACTTAAAGGTTATTCAGTAGTATATGACATGTTCAGATCCTCTCCACATTCTCCAGTGCTTGCTTAATGTTGTGTTAACACTTGATTACACTGACTTAAAATGATGAGACTGACATAGAATAGCATTTGCTTCCTATATCATGAAGAGTTTGTATGTCAGATTCTAGGTGGATTAAAAGGGCTGTTTGGTATTTTTCAACCCTGAGGATGATGGTATTGTGTGATACAGAGATCTGGTTTTTTCACTTAGACCTGGCGATGACTGGAAGAAGACCTTAAAGCTCCCTCCAAAAGACCTGCGAATCAAAACGTCGGTAAGGGCTTTCTAAAATTTTAAACACGGGAAAGGAAGTGGTAGTGATGCTTGACATCAGATATTCCTTTTCATTGAAGTGTAAGATTTCAAACAGATTAAATCACATTTGTCCTACAGAATCCACAGAGATAGGTTGCCTACTGTGCGGATTGCTATCTACTTGCTAGCTCTGAAATTATACCATCTCAAAATGTTTTTTGCAAGCAATGGCTGCCTGCTATACATGATGCAGCTAGTTACAAACAGCCATCTTTAACTGGTGAAATTAAAAGAAAAACATATATACTTCCCCCCCCCCCGCTCCACGCATCACAATTCTGGATAAAGTGCAGCAGCAGCGGGCATAGACTGCAACTTACCTTGAATTTAAATGCTACCCCACCCCC